GTTAAAAACAAGAGAAAATACACTTATTTTAAGAATTATTTCTTTGCAGTTTAGTTTTCTGCCTCCTTGCCTGTTTTTTTTTGTTTTGTTTTTTATCTGAAACCCAAAACTTCTGACTTTACTCTCATTAGAACAGAGCTCTGCCAAGGTTTACAGAAAAGGATAAAACAAAAATATCTTCTACAGTAAGAGATTCTTCTTTCATAACCATTCATTTATGCTGTAATTTAAACTATTGTATTGATAAGTTTAAAAAAAAGAAAATAAGAACTTGACAAATATGTATTATCCACTCTGGCTTAGTGGAATTAATTGGCATGAATTAGATGAACTGACCTAGATGTAAACCTAGTATCATCCCACAGGGATCAGCTGGAGGCAGTTTAACGGTATGTAACAGTAATGCTGCACCAAGGGAGAGTTTGGGCATTAAGGTGACATCAGAATCCAAGCAGGCGGTGCATTGAACATGAGATAAAGTTTCCATATCTGACAGACTGTAGCCACGCTGAGATGCGGGCGCCCTGTGGATCAATAAGAACGTACTGGTGCGAACATGGCATGAACCACCACAATGTTCCTGCTTCATTGATGTTTCACTAATGAGGTTTAGTGTTGAAATTCAACCTGAAACCAGCTGTGCCAAGTCTAATTTTGGCACCTACAACCCCATAAAGCACATTAAATTGACCTGTAATGCTTAAAATTAAAACTTTATTATCAAATGCAAATGTAACGATTAACTGGGGTAAGTCGATGAATTTCCATTTCTTTAGTATCAGCATTTTGCTTCCGTTTTTGGCACAGTAGTTTGGAAAAAGCTATTATGGACTTGTTCCAGAAAAGCAGGATGCACCTACTGGGGATTCAAGCAGTAACTTCTGCTTGAAAGGGAAAAAAAAAAACACTTAAGCATGTCGGAACGATGTTATTACAGCTTCTGGAGGATGTAAGAGGATAGCTCTGGGGAGGAGGAGTCTGAAGCTGCTTCGTTTCATTAACGAGATGGTCATTTCATAATGAACACGCCACCTGACCTAAAACAGAGACACACCGCTCTCAGGGCCTCCCAGGCTGGCTCAGAAATATGTGTAAACCTCCTTTAACAAACTTCATCCATCCTGAAATCTGACACAGTAAATGAAGCTTTAATTTAATTAGCAGCTTTAGGTGATGAAACACATGTAATTGTTTAAGATCTTAAAGCTCAGGCTTTGATGGGGCGCATCTGATGAAGGGAATTAGAGTAATTTCCTAAATTTGCTAACAGGATGAGGTGTCAGACCCATTAACAACACGCCTCTGCCAGTGGTGCATCTTGACCCCTATTAAAGTAGCGTCACCAGCCCCCCCCCTCTACGGACGGCAGATGGCTCACACACATCTACGCACAATAATAGGAGTGGCTGCCATGGCGACCGGCTCATAATGGTGGGCCTGGTGTGTGTGGTGGAATCACTTGGCCTAATTTGTTAAGTACCACATCAGTGCATCTGATCTAATCAACTTTTTTTATGCGCAAGCCAAGTGGAGGCGCCCACGCCGACAGCAGAGCGGACATCTTGTTTAGAGACCAACTGGTGGTTTAATGATTATAACAGATGAACGCTTCAAAACCTTTTCCTCCACTACTGCACGGTGGATCGATACAGAGGTTAAGGACTTCCTTTATATTCATGTATTTAACAGAACACATGGATTAAAAAAAGTTTTTATTTTATTTTAAAGTAGCCAAATAAAACAGAAATTTATATCTACCCACAGATGTTAACAGGAACCCGTTTAACAGATGTGTTTAACATCTTATTGCATTTGCAAAATCTCAGAGTGACAAAAGAAGAAATTTCTTTCTAAGAAATATATATATATGTTTTTTTTTTATCAAACTGATTGTTTGGTACAATTATTACCATCCCTGCTATGTTTCTTGGGCATTTCTGTATATCATAATATATGAGAGAATTAATTGTTTATTTCTCTATTATCTCCTAATCTGTAGAATCTGTTAGTTCAATCTCTAACGTTCTGCTCTCTCTGTTTTTCCTCAGAGTAGC